TTTTTTTTTTTTTTTTTTTTTCGTAACGAAGAATAAGAGCGAATAGAGTGCGATCAAACTGTACACAGACAGTTTCGCTGCAATTAGCTGTACTGTTGTCCTAAAGCGTTTATTTGATTGATATAATTTTTGTAACTTTAAATATCATATACTGCATGAACAGTTTTTCGCTTCAAATTTTTATGGCTTTCAGCAACATTTTTGTAATCGCCTATTTATGTCTCTATTCGTATCCATGCGAGTGTTTGTATGTTTACGTGTGTCTGTGTTTGTGAATGTTGTTGGTATGCTTCTGTCAGTGGCATGTTTTCTTGAGTGCAATGGCTGGACTGAGATGCTGGAGACTTGCTACTAGTAAGAAGTGTATGTGCTGTAGTTTTGCTTATGGATGGGTCGATAAACGTTAGTCAGCTTTTCTTTTCCTTCATTCTTCTGTGGCTTTGGTGTGATAAAACAGTTGATTTTGTGTATATTTTACGGTTTCAAAGATCATTGCCTATGTCAAAGGTGCGTTACAGATAATCGCTTTTCTATTTGTCTACAAGTTTTTATTCAGTTCGGTTTTTGAGCTTCCTTTTTGAATTCTTTTTTCACTATATATTTTAAAAAAACATTGTTTTTGGAAGATTTTTTGAAGGAATGTATTTCTCGCTTCATCGTATGTTGATCCGATGTACTTTTTGCGAATCTGTAACTTTATTTTCAGTGTTAAAAAAGTGGGAAAATTTTATATATATATTTTTTTATATAAAATTTTGTACACTGCTCTGTGTTTTATGATACTTTTTTCACTTCATATTTTTATCGTAATTGATACTTCTTCAAGTCAAGGTTCCAAATCAGAGGCTCCTGCATGACACGTCACGCTTTCCGTTTGGCTATCAGACGTTGAATTTTTTTTTCTTTACCTTTTTTTAGTTTCCCTGCTGGTCAACAGAAGTGTTAAAGCATGGAGATGCTATGAAATTAAATACTGGAACTGTTAGCGGTTAAATTAGATGTAGTGTTAGGTACATTATGAAGTGAAACACAATTATTTTTGTTCATGATTGGTGTGAATTTGGTGAGTAGATACAATTGAGAAAAGAAAATGAGTAAAATTCTTCTGACATTATTGCTTATCATCTGGTCCGAAAACGTGGTAATGTCCCAATATTTTTGTTATTTTATAGATACTAGCGATCAGCTGGGGAAAAATGGTTTTTAGTGGGCATGTTAAACAGAACCAAGGAGCTTTAAAGGGTTTGTTTGAAATCGTCATTGGAACCTTATTTTAAGTCAGAAAGCTAAAAAAGCTTTTCAAAAAGTACCTAAAATAATGTTCTAAGCCAGTTGGGTTCAAATACCATAAGGTGTTAACGATTATTACCTGCTACTTTTCATTTTATTCGGCCTGACAAAGAGTTATGGCAGAAACATTTCATGAAAGGAACTTTCTGTAGTTTATTGTCTATTTTTTTCTGCTCTTTTTTTTCCACCTTTTCCAGAAGGAACTTTTTTACTGCTCAAGTATTCTTATCTTAGAATTCTTTTTTCATTTTAAGTATATAAGTTACACC